ACACTTGAAAGCGTTTTTCACAACCATTTTCTCACACGCTGGGCAATAGAGAATTTCGTTATCCGTACTTATCATCTCTCCTTCGAACTCCGCTGATACAGCTGTAATTTAGTTTTCTGACTTACTTTCACTTTCGGCTTGACTACAGAAAGCTAAACATACTTAGCTACAGACTAGTCACCACTAATGTGAATGGCCCCCAGCTTCAAATGAAGAAGCATAACGAACCACATGGAGACTTCGGAAATAAATAAGTGAAGTCCCTTATCGGTTGAATAGTATTATGTTGATAGCGGCTAGATGTGAACGCTCCCGACTAATCTCTTCGCAGTCACTTTGATGGTACACGGATGAGGCAAGTTACGAGTAGAGGAATCGAGGGAGTACCGTCCTGCGTATTGCATCAGAAACATGAATCATGATGAAATGTTGAGTCAAATTGCAACATATTCTAATACGGAAAAGAAAAATTGTATACACACAATCATGATTGAACATAAAATTAAAAAATATATATGATAAACATTTTAAAAAGGAAATATGCAGTATAAATAGAGATCTTCGAAAATATGATGCTTATTCATAAAACAGGCAAAATATGCATTTATATGCACCATCAAACCATGTCCAAAATTTAAGAAATAAAGTAATTCATACATATGTCCAAACGAGCATACTTTTGGGTTGCAAGAAAGGAATATGCATTTGCATTAAAATCCGGTCCCTAGTCATAACATACCATATGCATTTCAGAACCTTCAGCTTCAAAATGTAAGTTCTCTGTTCTCATTGGATAATCAGCCTGCCCTAAATGTGATACCGTGTAATACTTAAACCACTTTAGGCTCAAGTTTTGATGTGTGACAATTTTAAAATATTACTCTGTTTACTGCGTATGAAATCTGATAGTTCTATAAATGGCCAGTTTCAGTTCTCAAACCTTCCACATCGTGTCACACCCCATATTTTTCTGAACTCTTCAGTTTGTGGGAAATGTCAAAAAAATTATGGAGTGCAAATGAAGAAAACTAACGGAGACTTTAATTATAATTTGTGATTTATGTTAATGAATTCAGTTACCAAGAGTCAGGATAGATAGACTTTTGTCTAGAGTAAGTTACATGAGAATTATGAATTCCTGTAAGGGTGGCAAGGATTTGATTGTGTAAAACCCTGTTTGTCAAGAATGGTTTGTTGTAAAAATTTGAGAAGATGCTTATATTGTTGTGGATTTTCTATTGAAATTACAATTGAAACGTTAAACTTCTTGTTTTATACTTGCAATTTTTTCCTTGAGGTGAATTTTGAAAATACTCCAGTGCCAGCAGAAAATGTCTTAGGTGAAGTTGGTGATGGCTTCAAAATTGCAATGAACATTCTGAACAGTGGACGCTTCAGCATGGGATCTAGCTCAGCAGGTATGCTTAAAATATTCACTTTCATTGTATTAGTATGACAATTTATATTGGCTTTGCAGTATGATTAACAGATTTAAATCGAAATCAAAAGCTGAAGTGGCAAGTAATATTAGCATAAATTAATTATGAAGTAACATAAGTAATTATATTGGTCTGTAAAAAAGATGGAAATTCTGAGAATTGCTGAAGTAGAAAAAGTAAACATTTATGGGAATGTTAAGGGTGAGAGTCAGGGGTATGTAGAGACTGAGCGAACAGAAGAGTTGATCATAAAAAAATTAAACACCTCAGATTAAATTTATATTGTTACTGTGAAAAATAAAACTATAGAACTTTAAGAGAAGAGTAGAAATGATATGTGAGAACAAAGAATAGTGTTCGTGAAATGGTCCACGAGATAATCGATTGGCTCCAACATCAATATGAAGACAATCTGTCAACCCTGTATGAAGATTAGCTGAAGAGGAAGATCTGCACAAAATTCATCCCGCACAAACTCATGGACAAGCAGAAGGAGTGGAGAGACACATCATGGCAAGGCTTCATGCAGACTTGTCAAGATAATCTCAATTTTCTTTATTGCATTTTTTTATCTTTCTTAAGGTGAAAACTGCCCTCAAAGGAAAGCGGTTTCAGGATGTTGAAGACATTTAGAAAAACATGATGGCCAAACTAAACATTGTTCCTTTGGAGGACTTTGCTGTTTTCAGAAACTTCGATTCAACAAATGTATTCAAATTGGTGATTACTTTGAATAGAAATAAAAGAATTATTTCCTTGTATTTTTTATTTATTTTTTTCACATCAGTCATGGATCTTTATTGCCAGACCTTGTAATTTAAACTTCCCGGATCACAACTTTAAACACTCTCCAAGTTTAACAGTTTGTATTTAAGAAAAAGAAAGCTGTCAATAACTCCTGTATCTTTACTTTCTTACTAGAGGTGCTTGAAATGGCCTACATGCTCAAAGACCCACATCTCAGTTCTGTAAAAACGAAGCTCCCAAGCATCTGAAGATTCTGAATGTATGCTTAATTTCTCTTGGAAATTGATGAATTTGATGCCACAGTTCCTTTCTGTTGTCAACTGTACTGATATCACCACAGAATGAAAGTGTTAGGTTAGGATTCAAGTCATGTGAGTGTGTAAGCCAGGAACTGGAGCTTCAACCTATCCAGCATCCAGGATAATTATAGGACAGCCATTGACTCACTTAATGACCATTACATGATGGAGCACAATCACGTTAAAACTACATGTGAAGACGCATATTGGAAGATACATAATCTAATAATCCACTTAAGTATGTCTGAAGAATAATAAGGTACTTGTGGCCAATAACTTGTATTGGTAAAGTCAGATAAAGTGAGCCTGTGAGGTATTCACATAAAATTCCAGTGCACAGGTTGATGGCAAACTCAGTCTGTTTTTTCAGAATATGAAATCGGAGTTGAGATTCTCTAGTGGTTATAACTTTTGTAAGGAAGGCCTTCAGGTTACATATTCACATGAACTTTTTTACTTATTTTGAGGCCCAGAAACCATACTGTATGGCATGTAGTAATGAGACAGCTATATATTTCTTGTCAGGTTTACTAAGTAAGAAAACTGAATAGGAACTAATATTTACCCAATAATGATTATGATTATCTTGTATGAATCAGGTGTTCTGAAGCAGCTGATAGGTTGGACTGCTGAGCATGCCATTAATAGGCAGCAGTTTGGAAAACCCTTAACAGAATTTGAATTAATTCAAGAAAAATTTGCAAAAATCACATGCTTAACATATGCAATGGAAAGCATGGCTTACCTTACAGCTGGGATGATAGATACCTATGAAAATCCAGATTGTGCTGTTGAGGCTGCTATAGTGAAGGTAAGGTAAACATAACATACATGCAGAAAAACAAAAATAAGCTTTCTTCACCACGTTAAGGTAATGCAAATTTTTCGTTATTAGTAGTGGTTCAGCTCCTATGAACATTACAGTACTACAGAAAAATCTTAATTTTTGGAACTTTATGTTCAAGAACTGTTAAATTGGTTACCTTGGCAGATTTAATGATCACAGAATTACAAGTTTAAACATTGTCAAGTAATAATAATTTGACACTACATTTATGCAGCGTGTGACAGCAAGTAACCCACAGTTCTTTCTTTAATAAAAAAGTTAAAAATTAAATTGCAGCCCCTGTAAGATTAAATGTTCTGTATAATCTTGAGATACAATTGGTATCCTTTTGGTGTAGGATCTCTGAATAGTGAGTTTGATAAGAAGCATCAGTATTAAATTTCAATAATACATGTAATTTTTTTTTATTTGTTTCATTCTGGTCCGTCACACTAGCAATATTATAAAAAGATAAAACAGTTCCATCCAGTGTGACTGGTGAAGAACTGAAATAAGAATAATCTTCACCAGTCACACTGGACGGAACTGTTTTATCTTTTTATAATATGTGTAAGTTGAATATGAACATTTTGAGTCCAAACTTGGAAGCTCATAAGAGCTCAGTCATGAAGATTTTTCAGCAGGGATCAAAATGAAAATTAGTGAATAAACTTTGCTAAGGGCCATTAACCGTGACAAAGTAAGTTTTAGAAACTTGAATTTTATCAAAAAAAATGTGCAATAAATTCACAAACTGAGACTGAAATAGTTTGAACATTGCACAACGATATAATAATATTAAATTCAATTTCCATGTTGTATTTCTCTGGAGTTATTAGTTTGTAATGGAAACTACAGACTGAGATTTCAGTGATATTACATATATGGTCTTTTGGCAATAGTAACACAGTCATGCAGTGTCAGTTATGTTTTCAGGTGTTCAGTTCTGAAGGCTGCTGGTATGGTGTCAATGAATGTCTACAAATTCTTGGAGGGATCGGGTATATGAAGGATTATCCATATGAACGCATCCTTAGAGATGCCCGTATTACAATGATTTTTGAAGGAACAAATGAAATTTTAAGAATTTTCATTGCTTTGATGGGTACGTATTTCTTTTCTATTAGTGATTTATTTGTAAGGTATCTGAGAATACTGTATCAGCTGCAAATGTTATTTAATGTCATGTGAAATTAAATGAAATGATGGGAAATTTAGTGAAAGATACTGATTCTTGAAGAAAGCAGTCTTCTGGGATGTGGCACCATGTAGATGTGTTAACCGACGTTTCGGAGGAACGTATCTCCTCCATCTTCAGGGTACAAAGAAAAATAAGAAAATCTGCAAGTGAAGAGACCGTGAGAACCAGTACAAGCAGACTGCTTTACCGGTTCTCATGGTCTCTTCACTTGCGGATTTTCTTATTCTTCCTTCTACCCTGAAGATGGAGGCGATGCGTTCCTCTGAAACGTCGGTTAACACCACATCTACACAGTGCCACATCCCAGAAGACTGCTTTCTTCATAGTCACCACCGTGAAAACCTCAAATCTTGCATACTGATTCTTGTCTGGATGGATTGAGAAAAATCATGAAACACATCTGTGGGTTACCTAATAAGTGCCCTTGACAAAATCTGAAGCCAGTTTCTTCCAAGCAGAAGTCAAGAACGATCATATCCACTCTGTTAACCTCCTTTTGTCTCCTTTTTTTTCTTACCTTCCTTATCTGAGATGGACAACATGTAGCACATGTGAGTGAGAGAAATGTGTATATGTAGTTTTAGTAGGGAAACCATAAGAAAAGAGACCACCAGGAAGACCTAAATGTAGATGAGAGGCTAATATTAAAATGAATCTTAAATAGGATGGGAGGGCATGGGCCAGATTCATCTGGCTGAGGGCAGGGACCAGAGGCAGGCTTGTATGAACATGGTAATGAACCTTTGGGTTCCATAAAATGCTGGGAATGTAAATAATTGTGAACTGATCATAATAGTGTGTTCAGAGATTACATTGCTGTTAGGTAGTTTCCATGAAGTATTCCAAAATGTGGCATATTAAATTTGTTTTAATCCTGAATTATGTATAAACAGCTTTGAGAGGAGTTAGATAAACATTTTCTTTGCAGGAATTCAACATGCTGGAATAGAGCTGCAGGAGATAATACAAAAGCTCAGGAATCCCCTTATGAATCCTAATTTTGTCATTTACAAAGCTTGGCAGAGAAGGCGACATGCTAATGATTCACCAAAGTTGATTCTTGGCTTGGATGGATATCTACACCCTTCATTACAGGTACTAGCTGCATTCTTTTCAGCAGATCACTAGTTATACTGATTAATAACAGAGATCTTAGGTCTATAATATGTTGAAATATGGAAACCAAAATGTTTTCAGGGTTCAGCAAAATTACTGGAATACTGTGTCTTGCGTCTGCAATATGGAGTAGAAATTGCTTTGGCACGGCATGGTCAGTCTATTATTGACCAACAAATGACGCTCAAGAGGCTTGCAGATGTTGCTATTGACATTTACGCTATGACTGCTGTATTGGGACGTGCTTCACGATCATACTGCATTGGATTGCAGCATTCAGCTGAAGAGGTAATACATAAAGTATGAAATGAAGGAAGTCCTTACTTTTGGGTATTTCATGATATCAGTTCTGATTTTCAGTAATTTTATTTAAGTTCTCCACTCTGGCTGTTTCAGTCAGGCATATACAAACATACAGGTGGTTTAACTAAAGCTCAAATATAACTTTGACCATTTTATCCCCAAAGCCTAAATAAATGTACTCCCCAAGAAACTGCACTAGAGAGATAGAGAAGGTCTACTGGAAAGTCAGTTTTAAAATTTGTTTTTTTAAAGATCACAGTTAGCTGGAATAGCCCAGTCAGTCCTAACAAAAAACACTGGGTGACTTTCATTAGACTGCATGGTATCATATCCAAGAAGATGGAATTTTCCATAAACTTTTTTTTGATATTTTTTTCAATTGTGGCATTTAAATCTGAAATTAACATGCTTGAAACAAACAGTAAAAACAAGCATATGAAGGGAGTTTTACAGAGGTATAAATGAATTTAAAGGGTTACCAGCCTATAACTAACTTGGTAAAAGAGGGGAATTGTGATCTCTTTGCTGATTATCACAATATTTTGAACAGGTAGAATGATTTTTCTTTTAGCAATTGAATGTGTATAGGTTAATAATACCCTTATGTATTCATGTCCTCACATCAGATTGCAAGAAAAAATCATAATATGTAGAAAAATCCTTTGAAAATATGGCAAAGTTGAAACATTTGGAAAGACGGTAACAAACCAGAATGGCATTTAAGGCAGAATTAAAGGTGAGGAATGCTTGCTACTATTCAGTTTATAATCTTTTTTGTCTTCATGTCTGCTGTTCAGATAGACAAATATTAAAATGTGATTTATGTGTTGTTTTCTGTGGTTGTGAAACGTGGTCTCTCATGGTAAAGGAAGAACACAAGACGAGGTGTCTGAAGAAAAGAATATTTGAATCTAGGAAGTGAGTAGAGGTTTGGAAAAATTGTATAATAGGGGTTTTTTAACCTGTACACTTCAGCAGATATTGTTTGGGTTGTCAGACTGAATGGATGGGGCAAGTAGTACTCATGGGAGAGAATGACAAATGCAATGTGTCGGTTGAGAAACGTCCAAGAAAGAAACCGTGCAGAACACCCAGACATAAATGGGAGTTTGATATTAGAATAGATTTTAGCAAGAAATTTGGCTAGAATGGTTTGGATTTCATTTATTTGGCTCAGAATAGGCAGCAGTTACAAGCTCCTGTGAATACAATACTGAGTCTCCAGGCTCCGTAACAGGTGGGGAAATCTTTTGGATAGCTGAGGACCATTTCTTAAGAATGACTCTTCTCTGTATAGTTAGGATTTTTGACAGGACACAGGGAGATGAAAAGAATGGGAACTGAATAGTATCAAGGTTTTTCCATATTCTGTCTGCTCTAAATTTTGTCATGAATATAATTTTGATTTATTGTTGTTGCTGTTGTTGTTATTGTTATTATCATCATCATCATCATCATTATTATCAGCAACTTATTGATCTTTGCCCCATTTTCTGTAGTGTTCTAGCATTTTACAATATAAAGTACATAGAAAAATGTGATTGCATATTAGATTATGCATCTAGATGTATAAAATTATAGTAATCATAGTGTGAGTAAATTAATTTTTCCTCCCTATGTTAGTCTGTAGTCCATGATTTAAGGTCCTGTTGTACACAGTTAAATATGGGAAGTCATACAAATTGGAACTGCTCATAATTGATTAGTCCATAAATTGTCTAGAATATAAAATGTTCTACTTTCAGATAAATTTGGCGATCACTTTTTGCAATGATGCTCATATTCGAGTGAAAAGGAACATCCTTGATGTTGAGGATGGCCCATTTATAAATAATGACGACAATTACAAGGAAGTGGCGAAACAAGTGTTCAAGAGCCGTGGGTATTTTGCAAAGCACCCACTTACAAGAAATTACTAGTACATCAATGATGCAATGAATCACTGACAGTTTTTCTGCATCACATTGTGTGTATGTGAAATAATTCTAGAGTTGTACAAAAATAAAATATAAATCACAACTTTTATTCCAAAGAAGTGCCTACAGTATCACATTTATTAAAACTTAAGTTTTTATAACGAAAGCAAAAAATGAAGAGTGCTTATTCTCTAGCCTGGAAGATAGAGACAGTGTGTTTCTTTGAAATGCTGGTTGATTTTCAACATACTGCATGGCGTTGTATCCCAAAAGATAGCCTTGATATGATGGCATCATGTCTCCAACATTCGTGCTGCAGTATTATGGCATTTGACAGATATAATACATATATGCATTCCTACATGAGTATAGTGTTCCAGAACATAAATATTTCACAAATGGAGAAAACTGAACAGGATGTTAAACATTTAGTTGTACAAAGTATCTTGAGGTAGGCCATGCCATAGCTCAAGCGGTTAGTCGCTGGCTTCCCACCATGGCGGCCAGGGTTCAATCCTGGGTCTGGTCAAGTGGGATTTGTGGTGGACAAAGTGGTGCTGGGGCAGGTTTTCTCCAAGTACTTCGGTTTCCCCTGCCAATCTTCATTCCACCAAATTCTCCATCATAATCACCCAGGGCAGGTACAATAGGCCAGTCAGTGGCTGTCATGCCGAGTGGACCCAGCTGGACTCCACCCCCCCACTAAGCGAATCTGGAGGTAGAGAAGCAACATCAGGCTTCTGCTCAGTGTGGCAAGCTGAACTGAAGTTTTGGGACACAGTTTAAACATGGTGGAGCTCCTCTGATGAAATATTTCTTCAGGAGCCATATTTTATAAGTTATAATTAGCAGAAATGTTAAATTGCAGCCACTAATGATATTGCAGTATATCTGTTGCTGTCATAGTTATTTAGAGATTTACAACAGACAGCAAAGTTTACAGGCTGGATTGTATAATTGAACTATTCTAACTGAATTTGTTGGGTTGTGCCATAGCTCAAGCGGTTAGTTGCTGGCTTCCCACTGCGGCTGCTGGGGTTCGATCCTGGGTTTGGTCAAGTGGAATTTGTGGTGGACAAAGTGGTGCTGTGGCAGGTTTTCTCAGAGTACTTCGGTTTCCCCAACCAATCTTCATTCCACCAATTTCTCCACAATCACCCTCACCTATCATCTGGGGCTGGTACAATAGGCCAGAAGTGGCTGCAGTACAAGGGACTTAGTTCCACCCCACTAGCAATAAAAAAAACTGAATTTGTTTAGTTGTATGGTAATATGGGTCTTGCCTTACCAGCTTCAATGGGTAGAGCCCCAGATCCACAATGGTATTTGCCTATTTTATGAAGAAGTTACACACTCTGCTGTTAACCTGAATTTATTTTTAAATTCATGTCATCAAAATTTCGATTCAGAAATTAATATCTTAGTTCCATACAAATATTATGTTTCTGACATCCATTGTCACATTTTTATCTAAAACACCATCCTGTTTATATTTCAAAACACATCAGTTTGGAGACCGAATTCTGTCTCCATCTTCAGGTAAAACCTACTCAGTTGGGCCAAATCCCTTTTTTCAGACACTCTTACCAACACCAAGATAGGGTATACAAGTCAAGTACAGCACAAACCATCTGCAAGAGCTAAGACAAAACATTAAAATATTAAAAAAACTAAGAGAGATAGGATGGGATGGTATGGATTGGATAGATCTGGCTCAGGATAGGGACCAGTGGAGGGCTCTTGTGAACACGGTGATGAACCTTCAGGTTCCATAAAATGCTGGGAAATTCTTGAGTAGCTGCAGAATTGGCGGCTCCTCAAGAAGGGCTCAGCTCCATGAGTAAGTAAATATATGCAGCCTCGCACCAGAGAGCTATCAAGATAGAAGACATCACTGGAGAGACTAATTCTCTGTGGTACCAACACAAGAAACACAAATTTCCTCACTCAGTCTACACTGGATGGCGTTGTAGTTTCTTAACTTCTGCTGTGATAACAGGAGTCCTGATGAGAGAGATGTCCAAGCTGAGTTGACTGATTGGATTGTCTGTCAGAGACATGAACTAAACAACACACACAGAAAATACAATGAATCCACCCACTATCTCGGGTAATACCTACTTGGTGTTGGTGAGTTATGACTGCATGGTTAGAGGGCCCTCGGAGGTGATAAACAACGTAATAGGACCAAGTTCGAGGCCTGCCCACCAAGAAGTTTACACTGCAAGGAGGCTGGTTTACTCTCTTAAGAACTAGTGGTTGAGATGGCTGAACACTGCCTAGGGTGGAAGCACACAAGTGGAGGTACCCTCTCTGTAAGGCCCCTGCTGGAGGCATGCGCTCACTATCAGAAAGCCAAACAACAGTCAGGCAACCTGAAGGTATGAGTTATTACTGCTGCCACTGCAGAATGGCTAGAACCATGCTGCCCTGTGGGGGAGCAACTGGATGACAACATGGAGCTGATTGTGCAAGCTGGAGAGTGTCCTGAGTGGAAGGACATCAGTGACTGCAGTCCCATCTACAACAGTTGCTGGGCCCATTTTAATTCCCTAATGGGAATTCCCATATGGCATGCTGGAGTGCCATGGGGAGTTAGCTATGAACAGTCCAAAATAGCCAAAGTATTCTTCCTCAGAAAGCACTGTTTGGAGAGCCCCATAGAGGATCACTGGGAGGACATCTTGGCATCAACAAAACCTTGGACAAAGTCAGAGAGTAGTACTACTGGCTACATGTGAGGAGCAGTGTTAAGAGTCAGTACCAACATGTGACATCTGCGTAGCAAGCCAAAGTCCCCCAAAGGTGAAGTTGGGGCATTATGCACCAGCATAATAGCAGGACACAGTTCAAGATGATGGTCAGTGACAATGTGAAGACCTACTACAGTTGCCTACCCAACTTCCTGAGAGTTCATTAACCTTTAAGTGCCGAAGTGCCCCATTTGTGCCAGTCATGAGTAAGGTCATCGTGGCCAAAGTACCCCGTTTTGGCCAGTCAGGCATTTAAACTCCGCTAGTGGAAGCGCGCGCACACGCCGCTAGTAGAAGCGCATGCACATTCCTAAATATTTATTTTCAAATGTAGTAATTACCAGACAGACTTGAGTAAAACCCTAATAGAGGAATTAAAATAATACCTAACTAACAACAGAAAATAAAAATATACGTATGAGTTATGCCAAAACTTATCCATGATCCAGTAATTTTATTGCAGATTCTGCAGATAGGTATGTTAAAAATATATTGTAAAATTCGATGTACATACCTTTTTTGTTGTTACCTGCTTGATGTATATAGATGTTCAAATGAAATTACACTATTCGATTTCACTATGAACGCACACAAAACAGATCGCGCTCTGTATCTCAGCCACGATGCAGCTGTCTGTTCATTCAAATAGAAGGGGCAATAAGCTTTCGCAGCTCTAACAGAAGATCTTAGCACTGAAGAAGGGACCACTCTAACTTTCTCTTGAATAGCCATTCTTCCATTCTTCTGAACTTCAGTCAAAGATTCGAAAATACGAAGGGTGTAAGCAGTGCTAGCAGAAGACCAAATGATTTTATTGCTTCCATCTGTTTTATGACACCAGGGACTGCTAAAATTTGTCAAGTGTTACAAACAGAAATGAATTTATAATGCAGAACAACTCTGTGAAGAACTGGGAAACCATTTTTGCAGTACGCATCAAAATTAAAACACAAAAAATTGACAATAGAGTATAACACTTTGTATTAAAAATTTCAAATCTTCCGTTATAATATGCGACACTATGTTCTTTTCTGATATAAACAAAATTAATTCCATCCATTTATCATAAAATTTGAGCTAGATACAGCGTTTTTAAACACAATACTTAAAATTGATTAAGCGCCTAACAGGAACGGACATTTAAACACAGAGTAGCAACGGCCATTTAAAAGAGCACCAGCAGCGGGCATTTAAATAAACTCCGGCCAGCTCAAGCTTACCACTATTTCTAAGTTGGGCGTTTAAAGGTTAATACAATCAAGTCTGGCTATACTGTCTGACCTGGACCAGAGGAAAGTCACCTATTCACTCTGGGAAGGCTCTTGCTAGGAAGTCACCCAGATCAGTCATATGATCCATGGGGTTCAGCACCATCGCAGAGTGAAGATGATGGTTGTGCCCTTTGACAGACTTTAGGTTTTGTTATACATGTTATCTGCCTCACATGTGAAAAATATAATTTAAAAAAATGCTATGAATTTATGAAAGCACAGCAGAAAGTGTATAGAAATAGCAATTCTACAAATAAACTTAAAATGTCTCTTAATTCTGACAAAGAAAGAGCTTTATTTTACTAATTTTGTGGCTTCATATTCCTATACCAGAACATAAAGGCCAGAAAGTTGGTGGCGGATATAAAATATTGATCATGTGCTATGATTGGCTACAGCACTGCTACAAAGTATAAATTCATTTCATTGTCCTTAAATTGTCATGAATATGATGATGCTTTTAGCATATCAGAGAAAGCTAAACTATGTAATTCCATCCTGTTCTACATGAATGGGGCTCGGATAGCTCATTTGGTATAGGAACAAGCTATGGGCTGAATGGCTGAGGAATTTGCATTCAATACCTGGTGGGAAAGAGATTTTTCTCTCCTCCAAGGTGTTCATACCTGCTCTTGGGCCCACCCAACTGAGGTTGGGGCATGAAGCTGACCATTCACCTCCATCTAGTACCAAGGATTGGTGGAACTATACATTCATTCCCTTCCATCATAATTAAGGACAGGAACAACTTTATCTTTACTACATATTTGTTGAATAAAATCGCATTTACGATGTGCCCATAAAAGTTTGTTTCCTTCACTTCTCAATTTGAATGGTTATACTTGTATAGAACGATTTCTGTAGGGTGAGGGTATATGCTACTGTTACTTGAGGTACATTGTATTTGTAATACAAAAAGGACAATGTTTTAATTATGACTATCATCATGAACACTTCCATGTTAAGTGGGTCCCTTCTCACCACAGCATAGCATGTCAGCCAGCTGTGGACAGAAAACACAACTTCCATATATGGAGGGTAACTGTGAACATATTGAATAAGCAGTTGTAGACATCTGACAAGGGCCAACTTAGGAGCTGGGCTAAGAGCTAACAACTCTACACCACAACAGAAGAGCAGTTTGTTACAAAATGTTACATAGAGCATTGGACAGCTTCATTCGAACGAACTCGGCTAAGAAAATCAACCTGAGATTTGGCACATTGCATTGAATGTGAGGGGTATCTATAGGGCCAGTTACTTATAATAGGTGCAAGAGAAATATCAAGATTTATGTTAAATTTGGTGGGAGTACAATAGGTCAAATGAGACAGGTGACACTGAACAAGCAGGTGATGTATTTTTCTGTGGGAATGAGAATCACAAATTAGTAGCAGGATTTTTTGTACATAGGAGAACCATAAAGAGGACAGAGTCTGTTAGTCATAGGGTGTCATATATAATACAAACAAGTCACTGATGTAGTGGTATTTTTCCGAATGTTCTTGCCTCAACAGAGGATAAACCTGATGGTATGAAGAACAGCCTCTATGAGGAACTTGTTCAGCAAATCTCGAAGTACCACATGAAAATAATATTAGGAGATTTTAGTGCCAAAGCAGGTACGCAAGATATTTCAAACCAACAACTTGGAATGAGAGTTTACACGAATTTAGTAATGATAACGGAGTTAAAGTAATAAACTTCTCAACATACAAAAAAGAATGTGTTTCTACATTGCCACTTTCTTAAATTTGCTTGGAAATCGGTTGGAAAGACAATCAGATCGACCATATTGTGACATTCTGGCTAAAAGCCAAAAGCGCCCAGCAACAAAAGAAAAACGTTGCTTGAACGGTTCGGTAAACACGTTCTTACAGTAACATATGCACGCAACAATAGAGGAACTTTTAGAAGCGGTGTTTTCTGTCGCGAAACAAGACCTTGAAGGGCGTATTCTTGCGACGTTACTTTTATCACTGAACACCGTAACTACAATTCAACGTAACTATAACACAAATGCTGAACAGGTCATCTACTGTTACGTCACAGCGGAGAAGTGTTTACTGTCCTGTTGCCTAGCAGCGGCGGATCCTCTGCTGTTACGTTACCGCACGGAAGTATTTATGGCAACGCGTGCGTTATCGCGCCGCGATGAGTACACGTTTCCCAGCAACTTCAGTGTTGTCCGTCCTAAGGGTCCTAAGGATATAACGGAGGTCAAAACCAATTCGGAAGCAATAGTGTTCGGCTGACCCATCTTCCAAAGCCTTGCAAGGAAGCAAAAGTTGTGTTACCGGTAAGGCCCCAACATTTTCTCACAATTTACGTCCGATTACCCTCTTGTCTACAAGTTACTTTGAAAATAGTCGAAAGGCATGTTGGGGAAAAAAGGGGCCTACTTAATGTAAGCCAGATCGGTTTCCGTGCCAGTCACAGTATGACCAGTATGAGGTGTACGGACCACATAACCTTAAATTTTTAAAATGACCATGTCAAGGAGATTGAGACAGGCAGGGCATTCTCGTATAGCAAGCATGGGGAGAATTTGTAAAGGGTTTCGGCGGGAAAGAGCCTCTGTGAAGACCTAGACATAAGTGGCATGATTATACTGAAATGGTTCATAAATTGGAAGGATTCATCTGGCTCAGGACAAGGGCCTTGGCGGGCTCTTGCATGCACGGTAATTAACCTTGGCGCTCCATAAAATGTTCGAAAATACTGGAGCTTGAAGACTAATGGTTTAAGAACTCAGCTCCATGGGTTTGGCCATCATTATATCATCGGATCTACTAGCCATGAAAGTGTTTTCTTTTTTTTTACTTACTGTTTACAGAAGATACTGAAAACATACACATATTTAATTGATATACCGTTCTTTTTCGTGAGCCCAGACTTTCATTGAACGGCCCCATTTCCGGAAGGATGCTGGAATAAGTATCACCACAACCTTACCAATAAAACTCCCTACTGAACTGTGAATAGTTTCTCGTAGGATGACGACAGAAAGTTTGTTGCGATCTGTGGTTTGTTGGTGGTTTGTTGTATGGGGAGGGACAGTAAGAGGAATTATGCTAGGCTTAGTTCACAACTTAATTTTGTAGTTGATTGTGGTGTTTCCGTTGCATGCCTTCCTTACGCGACCCTTTTCCTGAAAATCCCCAGGGCAAAATGTTGGGCATTCTATTGCGTTCAAGCTAGCCACATGTCCAATTTATCTACCTTCCTCAATTCACCACATTCCCTACACCATCAACCCCCTGATGTCCACGAAATCGAAATTGGTTAGGAATGTTATACAGTAGAAATAATTATGGGCCTTCAAAACGAGATTATACTGAATGCACCAAAACTTTGATCACATAAAATGATGGGCGAAATAGAACCAATATACTTTTCATAGTTCCCCCACCCCAATATTCCTTCCTCGTTTGGTCTTTTTTATTACTTCTCGTGGTCGGTGTTTCCAATCCTTTGTTGCTGAAACTGACGCGACAGAGTTTCGTTACGTAACTCAGGGATTAGTAAGGTTGTTGTTATGTATAAACATCTGTGTACAGACCGGTACAGACGTCTCATTTCCAAGATGGAAGATACTAGTTTGGTTTAGGCAACGTGGATTATGGACTCGACAGTTTGGATCCTGCCAAGTGAAAAAGTAATGTGACACGCGCTTAATTCATTTGTATTGCGAAAACAGTAATAGAACGCTAGGTATTTTATATGGTGCTAAGCTTTAGTGTGTCGTTAAAAGTTTCTGATGAAATAATGTATAACATGAGTTGTGGTTTAATACTTGTCGCAGCATATATTTTGAAATAAATTTACATTCATGCAGATGGGTGTCATTTATCTGGTCACAGTAGCATGAATTCAGATATTATGAAAATTGTCTGAAAATATGTGATTTTTTGTATTACGCAAGTTTGCGCGTACCATGCGTTAATAGAAATGACAATGTGCCTGCCCTTTACTATCTTTACACTTGTTTCTTTTTTAAATCCCTGAGAAAAACAATGCATGAAGCGGTTTTAGCAGAGTGTGTGTAATTTTGTATCGATGTTTCAGATAAATGGTAATTTCATGGTGTCCAAAATTCAAAATATTTCTCCTTAAAAGGAAATGCCCTCAATACAATGCTTCATGATAACATCATACGATTTAATATTCTTGTGGTTTATTTTATGATGCTTAAGTTATCTCATACTGTGCTGCTATATCTATGGCTCTTACTCTGTGTGCAGTCCCTTCTATTGTTGCAGAGGAAGCTGACCCTTCTAGTGTCCAGTCATGCATTTTCTGCAGTCTAATGAATGTTCCAGCTATTTGCTTTGCTATTTCCAGCTCTGCTGTCTGCCTGAATTTCTTGAATGCCCTCTTGCTTCCTAGGACATCCCTTATCACCTCTCAAGTGTCCTTTTCTTAGGGGCTTCTCTTGCAACATTGTCCCTGCATGGCCCCTGATGACTGTGCCCCTTATGCCATGCAGGAATGGCATGGCGGGTCATCCATCTGTGGGTGGCGGCCAACTTCTTCTGGGACCCACCATAGCCTGGTCCATTTCTTCAGCTGTGGGCAGCACCAAATGCTAGAGCTGGTCCACATACCACTTCTCTAGTGCTGACATTTTTCACTGCGGCCTATTTTATAGGGACTTTCTGATACTCAGTTACAACCTCTGCATCTTCTGGAATTGCCTCCAAATTCGTGGCCAACATATCTTCCTGGCCAGTCTTAATTTTGGTTCTCCCTGGTTCCTCACAGGCCTTTATCTCTTCATGCCAGACCTTCATTTCTGCTATGGTCTCTTTGCAGGCCCTAACTTCCTTTAGAGTTGCATTTGTTTGGGTTTGCATCTTGGCCAGCATTTCTTTGTAGGTGCCCATTTTTGTTTGGCTAGTCTTCATTCCTCTCTCACCTCCACACAGTTGGTTCTTATTTCTTCTTGATTTGAGCCTAGCTTGGCTCTTATCTGTTCCTGGCTGGTGTTCATTCATTTGGCAGGGGCTTGGATATTCACTATGGCAGTTAGCAGCATTTTCAGGTCACCCACGATTATCTGTCACGTAGATCAGTATCCAGTGATGTGCTCAATCCAACCCATTCTACTTCATACAGCAGTTGTCATGTGTTAGAGTGACTCTTTGAAGGGGTTTTGGATTGGTTTGATTGACCTCTTTAACACATGACTCATGACTACATTTAATTATAGCACTGTCACTAATCTCCACACTTTACAAATCGCTTCTAACAGTGGAGATTCTTCAGCCTTTGTGCTAACTGTACTAACCAAGTCTTCTGTTCAGATACTTGCGTACAATTCTCTCACAACTGCGACTGTTACAGCTCTTCAACTCTCATCTCCAACTGACCCTGTTACAACTCTTTGACTGTCAGCTGAAAGTGACTAACTTCTAAACTTGTCTCAGTTTTAACATTTTGGCTTGGATCACATGGAAAACAGTGATCATTGTTGTACGCCAGTCGTTTTCGTGGGAACGTGATTGTTTGCCAAGGCATTACTCAGTGATGGCCGTGTATACGTGCTTATTAAGAATCTGTTGCCTAGCAGTGAATGTTTTTCTGTTATTTGGTTTGAGTTCATTACCCAGTAACAGGTCTACACCCTACAGTATTGAGTTTGTTGTTAATTGTGTGTTGGAAATATATAAAAATACATCCTAATGTTGACAGAAGTGTTTGTTTTGGTTTTATAAGTATAGCTGTAAATGTCTATCAATGAACAGTGTAAAATCCATCTTTAACTCTTTTGTTTGGTACATTCTAGTGTTTGGCCCCCATGTGATGGAGGCAGAGGTATTACAGAATTTGGAGCCAAAAGCAGACGTGGCTGCGCAGCAGTGTGTAAGTTGCATGTATTATCTGTTATGTGTCAGTTGCTGTCTAATCTTTGTGTGAACGGAAAAGAAAAAAAAAGTGTCAGGCTGTAATGTCTTTCAAGGCCAACCCTTTCATTATATATTCATGAAAGTTTATGCTGGATAACCTTATAAATATTTAGAGATAAGGTGTTAATTTTGGCAGTATTGGACAGTTATGACTGATGCCCTACCTGAGTGCTTGTATGAACCTAATTTATCTCATTAATAGAACTACCTGGCTGAAGAATGTAATCTGGTCTAATGTTGCAGATATAAAAATAAATCTTTTATGCTATGTACAAAGTTCTTGCAAAAGAATCCCTCTTGAGAAGCTAATAGTTGATTACCTTGTTGAGAAATACCCTGTCTTTTATGGAGCCCCTGGACATAAGAGCTACCACTGTTAATTTTCTTGAGTAGCACAGTTACCTGGGCTACCAGGCCTCTTTGTCAAATACATCATCTTATGTTATAGTTGTATCAAAGGAAAAACTTCTGAAACCTCTGTTAAGGAATTAAGACCCATTGAACAAAAAAGGTGAACATTTGTCCCCACATTTTCATTGAAATCCCCAAATATGCCATCTCCATGTCATTTGCACTGGTTATTCATGGTTGCCATTACATAGACAACCCAGATTTATAAACTAAATTTAGCATAGTTTTTATAGTGGAATTTCGTGTACTATACACCGTCATAGCCATATTTCTGAGAACATCAAATATCATATAAAGGTGAAGTTGGTGTTAAAATAGGAGAGACATTGTACATGCAGAATATTAGAGGCTACTCGGCTACTTCCACAGAAACTTAAAATGAAGTGTTTATTTTGTAGGCTCTTGCATACTTGGAGCAGCTGAAGAATTCTGAGGCAGGATGGCAGTTTTGTATGAACAATTTGACAAGAGGGATGAATCAAGAAAACCACCTGAGATTCTTCTGCTTTCAAGTTGTTGAGCATTACATTAGGAACCACTATAATCATGAGAATCTGGCTGAACAACAGCGTGTGCGAGAATTCCTCAGCTGCTGGATTCAGCTGCAGGTATGAGTCAAAAGATGTGACCATCAACTGATTAAGGAAGATCTCTGTATGTTAAACAGTCATTAGGAGTTAGTATCTCTTTTTTTCTGTGAAAACATGTTTGATTGTGGAAGAGGTAACATTGTATGATTCTACATCTTTGATCTTGATTAATATATTTCTCATAAGCCTTTACATAAGTACACATTCAGAATGAATGTAATCTACCGTCATGGTGATGTGTACAGAGTAGAATTATCGATGAACAGAAAGGAAAATTTGGATGTCACAATTTTTACAACTGATGAAATCTTATCTACTTGCAGTGCTCACAACTTGGGAGACAGGAAGCGACGTTTTTACGCAACAAAGCAGCCCAAGTTTTTGCCCTTGTTTTTGTCCGTGATTATCCGTTATTTTGGGCTGACTTCTTTGGTGATCTCATCAAGACTTTGAGTTTTGGACCCCAAGCGGTAGATATATATGTAAGAGTGCTCAAAGCTATAGACAGTGAGGTATGTGTATTTTGCTGCACTTAAACAATGCTTAAATTAGTCTTCTTGTTTATGATTAACCATTACATTAGGCTGACCTCTTTTGTAATCTTATTAAAACTTTGAGCTTTAGATGAACGACAGAGAGAGTCAGTAAGTAGGTCACAAATGGATATAAAACCTAAATATCGTAACATGTTCTGCCACTGAAGATGCCATTCGGATTGTTAATTTGTTTATTTAACAACCTACAGTCATAACTACAATTAATTTATAACACAGTTGCGGGTTTACCCAGTTTATAAACCCTGCACAATTATCTGTTCACTCTGTCTTTAGTAGTCTTCATGTATTAATAATGCAGGAGCTATAAAAGTCTCTCCCAATATAACTGTACTACAGCACACAATCTTGAAGTCACACAATAAGTCTTCAATGGCTGACTTCTCAGTTATTGTGCACTATAAAATCTTCTAACCACGCATCCGGTTCTGCTACATTTTAACTGTCTTCGGTGGCTGCTACATTTTAGGCAGTGGAAAACGGCTCGCTTCCCTGTTGCCTAGTTGCCATGTTTACAGGTGTTGTCACCTGTTACATCACATTGGGAAGCGCTGCCACATCACCACGGGGGAGGGAGCAGAGTGTTGACTGGGCTGTTGCCGTAGCAGTGACAGCACTTGATGTTGTTACGTCTCCGCTGATACTCGAATCTGGAAAAAAACATTTATTTCTTGACATACGCTCGACCAACATTGATACACTTGTCCCTTTGCTTTACTAATGTGTTGAAATCCACACCATAGAAGTCTTTTGAATATTGTCTCAGACACTTCCACACCTCTGCTTCAACCTCTTTGTCATCAGTGAAACATTAGCCACCGAAGTGGTTTCTAGGGAACCAAACAGCTGGAAGTCACTAGGGGCCAAGTGTGGCCTGTAAGGTGGACGTTCAAGAAGTTCCCACTGTAGTTTCTGAATTCTCTCCTGGGTTGCTCAGACTGTGTGGGGTCTGGCATTTTCATGATGAAACAGTTCCCCTCTTGCCAGGTGGCATGGATGTTTTCAGCAAATTGCCTCCTGAAGCTTCAATAGAACATCACAGTATGATGCAGAATTAACATTTACCATGCTTCTGAAAATGGGCTAACAGTACACCTTGAGAATCCCAAAACATGGTATTGCCAGCTGATGGCGTAACTTTAAACTTTTTGGTTGAATGTGAACTGGGATGTTTTTCATTGCATTGAAGCACTCTTTGATTTAGGTTGGTAGTGATTCATTCATGATTCATCCCTAGTAACAATTTTGTTACGCATTATACATGTATTTAGTAGTGTGGCATGTCTAACCGTTGCTGGGCAACGGGAGGTGGAACGAGTTACCACGAAGACAGACCCTTGATAAACAGTTGGTTGCCAAGTTATGCAACAGTAAGGAAAGCGGTGTTTCTCAGTGCCATGCCAAGTAGAGCTGAAGTGAGCCGAGCCGAAGCGCACTGGTTGCTACACAGCAATAAACAACTCTCGCAGCGTTCCCCAGCAACGCCTGTAAACACAGCGTTTACACAACAGTGAAGCAAGGTTGGTTTTTCCGCTGTCCGACTGAGGGTTTATAAGAGAGACTGGAATGTCTAAGCAGTCAGTTGAATTGTAGCAGTTGCCGAGTTCAGTTGTAGCAAGTGAATCATGAAGATCGGTACTAGTGATTAAAGGCGATAGTGTGAGAAGGTATTGGGAGTGTGTAATACAGTGACACTGGTATAGCTCCCGTATTGTACTGTGAATAAGTGAAGACTATTGAAGATGGAGTGAACAGATTATCGTGTAGAGTTTATAAATTATGTAAACCCGCAACTGTGTTATAATTAATTGTAGTTACGATTTGTAGGTTCTTAAATAAATCAGTTAACAATCCAAACGGCGTCTTCAATGGCAAAACCCGTTACAGTATTGCAGTATTATCCTCTATCTGCAATACCTACCACTCAGCACTACAGCCCTGGGTGAGCCTTGGCCTCCTCTGCAACCAGCCTCCACTGCTCTCTATTCCTCATCTTCTCTATCCAGCCTTTCACCTTCATCTTCTTCAGGTCATTCTGAACATTGTCTAGCCATCTCATCCTGGGTCTTCCTTTTCTTCTTTTGGAATATAGCCTTCCTTTTAACATGCATATATTCCAAGTTGCCATCACAATATCATTGATCCTTGTCCTTTGCTTAGTCCTTTTCTCATATGTTCCACTTATCCTAGGCTTGTTAGGTTTCTGGAGAAAATCTTTTTGCAGGATGAGATTATTAGCCTCATCCCCAACCCCCCACCTGGAGGACCAGGGTAACTCTCTTAGTCTGGACTCTACCCTTTGACCTTTCCAGCATGGGTGACCCTACCAGTAGTTAAATTATCGCTGGCATAGCTCTCTAGGTCACAGAGTCATGCAAGCCCCACCACCACAACAAGGTGGAGACACCTTTGGGGGTCCTTCATCTTCATAAGCTAAAAGATGTTGCAAGGAGAGATCAATTCGGTTCACTTCTACTTGATCCTTCAGTTCTGTGGGTGCACTGTGTGCACTTCCTGAAACTTCAGTTGATCATCCATTTTGTTGCATGCTAAACCATGGAAACACCCTAGTGCAGTACTGTCTATCATTATCCTCCTGTCAGGTTGAATCAACTCTTCCACCCAAGGCACAGTTGCTTTTGTTGCACTCTCAACAGGCTACCTGGTTGGGCATCATCTGTGACTTTCCATCATCCTTGAGAGAGTTTCTCAACCCAGTTGTGAACCACTTTACATGACAAACACTTCCCATTGTAAACATGAAACATTTCTTATCCTTTGCAATGAGTACTTTTGGCCGCAAAAATGCACAACAGAATGCTGCTTTTTGGTAGTATACTACTCAAGCACAGTCAAAATTTTGACTACTGAAACGAGCCCCTGAACATACCCTTCTGCTGTCTAGACTGTTATGAAGGTGGGCTATGCTGTTATTTAGTGATACGCGTAGAAAATCTGTTACATTACATCCGGTTTATAAAACCGAAATTAATGGCTTTGAGGATTCGTTGTGCTGACCATGCCACACCCTCTACCCACTGAAGTCGGCACTAACTTCACCGACAAGTGGCGGTCTCTCGGTATAGTTCACTAGCGGACTAAAGCCATGGAGTTAGTTTCAGTATAGTTCACTTGCGGACTAAAGCCATGGAGTTAGTTTTAGTTAATACATCTGTTTTTCTTTTATTTATGACCCATTGATGACTCTCACTTATATATGTAAGAGCACTCAAAGCTGTTGACAGTGAGGTACAAGGATTTTTGGTGCAACTCTGTATATACTATATGTACTACATATACATACATATACATACTACATATACTATATGTATTTATACACTTGGCAAGACATTCGTTAAAACTGTCTTTTTTGGCTGTGGTAGATACTTTCTTAGATGCTTTGTATGGTGTTATTTCATGTACATATACATGCATCATGATGTGCATAGTCACCAACAAACCTGAGGAGGTGATTTGGTGAGGAATTTCAAAACAACCGATACACATTTATTTCAGCAGTTTTGCCCACTTATATGTGAGCAGTTTTCTTTTAGTAGGGTACTTATAAGATGGGGATGAACTTAAATTTCTGTGCATTAAAATCTGAATCTGTTTCTTTGAGTGGGGCAGTGTATTTAAACATTATTTAACATTGGTGTAACTGTTCTGGGGCAGTTGAAATTAAAATATTTAGATGAGGATTTCATTGTGTCTGTGTGTACAACAATTGATCCTGAGTAAATATTTTGAGAATATTAATGCCCTGTCATCTGTACTGTCACAGATTTCTTTTCATTGTAATCTTTAATCTTCACCTGTATAAAAATATATCCTAGAAGCTAAGTATGACAGTTACAGTTAGAATAATTTTTTGTGGCTTTTATGCTAAGAAGCAATTCATGTCATGCATAGGAGTTTTGCCTTTCTTGTCTCTTGCAGATAGGAAGTATTATTTCTTACAGTGATGGTCTTTGAACTCTACACAGTGTAATTTGCTTGAATTTTAAAATGAGACTCCCCATTCTGTAATTAACGGAGTGGAAGGTGGGTTGAATGTAGTCCAGGGTTTTGAGAGATTTGAAGTTCTAAATAATAAACAAAAGTAAGTTGTATTATGATTTTCAAGGGTGGGATCTGTGTGTTTATATGTAGAAAGTAAAGTAAAGTAAAGCTATCCCTGTACCAGGCCGTGAAGGCCCATAGGGTTGTAAGACATTGAGGGTCCCACACTATCTAGACAGTTGGCTCAAAGATGGCGGTGAGATTGTCAGGCTTACGCACCGGCCGCGCTTTACTCCCCAGGAAAATTATATAATTAATTCCTGGTACTCATTTCTGTTAGAGGCTGAGTAAACCCCAGGGCCTAGTGCAGCTGGAAGGATTAGGTCAACTGAAAAAAATTCCAATGACCTTATATAATTAATTCCTGGTACTCATTTCTGTTAGAGGCTGAGTAAACCCCAGGGCCTAGTGCAGCTGGAAGGATTAAGTCAACTGAAAAAAATTCCAGTGACCTCATTGGGACTTGAACCCATGACCTTCCAACTTGTAGCATAGCCCCTCAATCAACTACACTGTAGGTAGTTGAATGTACCATTGTTCTCCAAATTCTGGCAGTTACATGAAATATTGGCCAACACAAACCACCAGCAGTGAAAGGATTGAAATGTATATTTGTTGTGTGGGATATCATTTGAGCATAAATCCTTTAGAAGAGTTATAACATTAAAATCTTTAAACAAGAGTATTCATGGCAACCAAATCTGTATAAATATTTTTCGTACATGATAAGATAGAATTTTGTGTCTCCTGTTTAGGTGGCTGATCAGGATATTATCCGTACACATCAAGAGGCAGAGAGAAATGCTGCAATAAAGAATGCTATGAGAGGAAGCTGTGTAGAGAAATTAGTGGAATCATGGTACCACATTCTTGTGAGTATGATGCTATGTTTCCTAGTGTAATTATGAATTGCTACTATTAAGCAAGAGGTGTAGGAAAAAAATGAATGCACACATTTTTGGTAAAATATGTGTAGAAAAAGTACCAAATCATGTAGTAAAATCTTTTTGGACCATCAGCTGTGTCACTTTTGAGTTAAATGCCAGTGTTTCAAAGATATCTGTCTCCATCATCAGGGTTGATGTGGTGAATGACCACATGTCATATACCAGCCTGCCAAATTGATGCCTCTTTTTCTTGGTGTTCTGTGCAGCAGGAGGACAGGGTTAAATTGTGTTGTCACCTAACTGACTAGAGGATTTTAGCACATTTGTTTGCCTTGAAAACTTCAAATCTTGCATAATTATGTGATTTGTTGCAGTTTTGAATTTGATGTCCCCTGCACCCATTTTATAATTTCGCATGTTAGTGACCAGACTTGAGGGTTTGATTTATTACTGAATTTATTGAATGCTTATAACTTGGGAATACAAATGATTATAACAGTGTTACTAATTTACACAGACTGTAGATCACTACAACTGCAGCGAGCACAAGGTCTTCTGTTTGTTGTTCTGTTGTCACTAGTGTTTGCTAGGTAGTGGCTGCTAAAAATGCAGTTTCCTCACAGCCAAACATGAACTATCACTGCTGACTTGCAGTTCATGACTCTATCAACTGTCAGAGCCGGAGTCAGAGTTGCTTTACAGGTGGTTTACTGCTAGTCAGTTCATCTTGGCTTCAAGCCCCTTGAGGCTTCAGTTCTGATAACAGCTCACCAGAGGTTACTTTCCAAATAGTCCTCATATATTCACTGTACTCCCAGTAACACTGACATGGTGAACGGAACGAGTTGAAACTTGTTAGACGAACCTACAGGGTTCGGGGGAACATGCTGTTCACACTGGCTTTGTTGCGTGCTGCTTACAACTAGGCACATTCATTCACCATATATTTTATCGCACCTCATATGTTCTGATTATTTCATGAATAGTGGATAATTGCAGGCATGGGTTGAGGTACTGAGTGGTAAACTATGTTCATCAGTAAATCAGAAATAGAATTATAATGGAGAGAATTTCCTTGACCTTTATGTCACTTTCAGTATGCCTTAATGGAGGCAAATGAACAATCCTGTGTATCTCACCCACCTAAAACTTGTATCATATGTAGTTGGCAAGTCTCATAGGTTCCCCCCCCCCACTTAGTGGGGGGTGGAGTCCAATTGGGTCCACTCGGAACGGAGGCCACTTATTGGCCTACTATAGCCTGCCTTGGGTGATTATGATGATGGAGAATTTGGTGGAATGAAGACTGGTAGGGGAAACTGAAATACTTGAAGGAAACCTGCCCCAGCGCCACTTTGTTCACCACAAATCCCACTTGACCAGACCCGGGATTGAACCTGGGCTGCTGCGGTGGGAAGCCAGCGACTAATCACTAGAGCTATGGCACGGCCTCACATGTTGCCTTAATCACATATTTTTCAAATAATATGTGGAGTTAGTGATATAAGCTTGTTGATTTTGTATGATAGTGATTTAATATTGTCACGTGTTGGGTGTATAACGTGACACATAACTTCACGCCATATTGGATATAGTGAATTTTATTTCACACTCACTCATACAATCACACCATTTACAATCTCACGATTACTGCCATCGGCAGTATCACAGTTACTTGGCCTGCGAATGTTAGACTACAACTGACTGGTTGACTGACTCCCTGGCTAACTCATAACTGACTTGAATAGTCTTCGCTGCTCCTTATTTAGCCCCGTTACGGACAACACAGAAAACAGTTACGTAATAGGCACCACTGTTGTCTGACGCTGTGTTTGCCGATAGCCTAGCAACGCTGTTGTTGGGAGTTGTTTACTGCCGCATAACAACTGTGGCATCCTGTTTTACGTCACCGCTGGCAGGGTAGGGGAAGGAGTGTTGACTTGCCTGTTACCGTAGTAATGACAGCGCTCCGATGCCGCCACGTCACTGCTGGGGTCGGAGGGGGTGTCCTCCGAAGCGCAACACATCACAATATATTAACTTCCACATTAGTTCTTACCACATTCCTCCTTTCTTCGAATTGCTCATGTTTGTATACTTTCCAATGAATGAACTTGTTTGTATTTAAGTCCTTCATTTGTGTTTTCAGAAAACATATGAAACAAGCAACCCAGAACTTGTAAATCAATGTTTAGAAGTAATTGGAGCATATGTATCATGGATTGATATAGCACTGGTAGCCAATGATCGTTTTATTGCGTTGCTTCTCTCCTTACTTCATATGATTGAGTCACGGGAGTCTGCTGCTGATTGCTTGCATGACATCATCAGCAAAGGAATGGAGCCATTGGACAAGCTGCAACTTATTGAAACTTTGGTTCCTGTTCTTCAGAATTCTGGCATTCTGAAACCTCTTGAGGTAAAATTAAATCTGACTTGATATGTAAATTCAAATATGTAGAGTTTAGGTTTATTAGAACTTGAAATATGAGTTTGCTACTTCTAGGGTTCATATGATTTACCTCTTGTGAGTAATATTCCATCATACAGTAACGGTGTCCTGGCATCACAATAGAGGGTGTTACAGAGAAATGTTGTTTAAAAAAGTGGTAGAAATGAACAGCTTTCTGTATTTGAATGTAAATTATGTAGGTTGAGTAGAATGTGCTGAAGTCACTAGGAATACCAAGATGTAGGTGGGTGGATAATATTAAAATGAATCTTGGAGAGATAAGATGGGATGGTATGGACTGGATTACGCTGGCTCATGATAGGGATCAGTGGAGGGATTTTGTGAACATGATATTGAACCCTTGGTTTCCATAAAATTTTGGGAAATTTTTGAGTAACTGCACAGTTGGCGGCATCTCAAGATGGGATCAGCTCAAAGAGTGAGTGAGTGATCAGAGAACACAAGACTCTGGGATACCAAAAATCCACACGCAACAGATTCCTTTATATGACCAAATAGTTGGTGTATGGTGTGACTATACTTTATCTTAATTTTAACTGATACTAATTATTTTTGACATCTTACTTTAATTAAATTAATATTTTAGTTTAGTCTAGATTTATAATGCTTGTAGACATTTCCTTTATGACAACCAGTGTTTAACATACATGTATTTCTCAGTAGTGTTGGCAGTGCCTTTTGATGATTGCACAGTAGTGGCTGAAACATGTCATGGCAGTCTTTTATATTCTCATTAAATTAATCTGAATCATATGTATCAAGTGTAGTCTAGTTAAAGTCCGTTGATGCTATGCTTGCCGCCTGCTTCATATTTTTTTCTTGCTTTTTTTCTTCTTCTTACTCTTGACCTTGAAGACGGTGACGTGTACCTCCAGAAACGGTTAATATTCACTGGACTACACATTGTTATATCCCAGAAGGTAGAACTCTTCATCTGTAGTTACATTTCATTTTATGTTTCCAGGATGATGAGACTGAATTTTCATGCAAGTTGTCGCGCTTAGTGAATGGAATAGGACTCAATCTGATTGATGCTCATAACAAGTAAGTGCTCTGAACTGGAAACAAAAATTTTAATATTTTTCCAGATCACTGACTTTTAAACAGAAGTGTGCAGCAGGTTATACCAGGGCTGAAAAGTTTGGTTTCAGTAGCATTTCTTCCAGAAACCTTGTTGAATGCACACTTATTTTGCAAGTCAGTTCTAAAATTTTAAAGAGGTAGAAACTATACTTCCAGCTTATTTTGGACTTTACCCATCGTCTGGTATGTAAAAGACAAAAGACCACGACGTTTCAGTGATTGAGACTAGCTCTTTCTAGTGGGCCCAACTGAGTAGGTTTATCCTTCCCTATCCACCTGAAGACGGAGACAGATCCAATCTCCGAAACGTCATGGTCTTTTGTCTTTTACATACCAGACGATGGGTGAAGTCCAAAATAAGACAAAAGAAGTACAGTATACACCATCGTCAGAATCTTTTCAAGTCTATCCAGGTAGAAACTAGATTAATATTGGATAGCACGTTTAAAGACACTGAAGTTTAATGTCATGCACATAGCTCAGAATAGATCTATCAGTTAATTTATGTTTTCAGAGAAAATCTGACATAGTGAACCTACATACATAATACTCTTTGTTTGGTAAAGAAGCTAGTAAGTTATTTAACCTTTAAACGACTAAAGACAACGTATGTCGTCGCAGATAGTAAAGGCAGCGGTACGAATGACGCCATGTGGTGTCGCAAAGTCCGCACGTGCGGACGTTATTTGAAATACATTTTTAAGATAGAAAATAATGTCCTACTTATATAATTTTTGGCCACCATCTGCATGGAGTGTCTGTCTTCCCACCTGCGTCATCTGCCGAAATGTTGCCTTCGTGTGGAATTCTCAAAAAGATCCGGAAATGCAGAGTCCGATTTCGCACTTCACGTACTTTGTCCTGACGGTCTTTCGTTTCCCAAGCGAAAAGCACACACGACACCTCAATTGCGAAGTAGAGCAAGTCGGCCAGTGATGTGGTTTGGCCTTCTATAATCGAGATATCTCCGATAAAAGGGCAGGGGTTCGACCCCTGGTCGCACAGTCCGCGCGTGCGGACGTTATTTGAAATACATTTTTAAGGTAGAAAATAATGTCCTACTTATATAATTTTTGGCCACCATCTGCATGGAGTGTCTGTCTTCCCACCTGCGTCATCTGC